CCACCTAGCTTTCCGTCACCCCCACGTTCTTGGGAACAGAAATAGTGGCCCCCAGGGGTGGAGGTGCAGGGGCGGTTGGAGTCCCAGACAAACTAAGAGCGACAGGAAATCGCCCTCGAATCCTTGCAGGAAAACGGTCAACGCCGCGGGGGTCCGAGGCGGCCGCGGGTGGGGGCGGGAGACGGACGCTGGGGGCGAGGGCAGCAAAGGAGGTCCGGGGCTGCGCGAGGAAGGGGCCGGGGGGCGGCGGGGCGGAGCGGGAGCTCGGCTGCAGCGTTCCTGGCTTCTCTATCCCTGCCGTCTGCAGGTCTGCGGGGCGAAGTGTCGCGGCGGCGCAGCTCGCGGCAAGAATCGGGAGGAGGAGGAGGAGCTGCAAGGATAGGCCCAGGTCGGTGCGAGGGATAGTGGTTGGAGCGGGTGCAGAGCCCAGTATGAGACCCCCTCCCAGTTCCCCCATTCCCCGTCCTCCATTTTGGTGCCTGTATGGCTCTGTAGGGAAAATGGTGGGCTTGGGGGGGGGGCGGGGAGGAAGGAGAAGGACCTAGAAGGATGGGGGAGGGCTTAGACTGCGGGCCCCCTAGAGGGCGCACGAAACCTCTGAGGTGGGAAAAATAAAATAAAAAACGAAACAAACAAACGAAAAAAATACGTTAATATCCAGGCCGCTGAATCCTGAGAAATGAGTAGTAGGGCCTCTGTCCTCGGTGCTGAACCACTCCGGAAAATTCATCTCCTTCTTTCTTTCACCTTCTGTCTTCTAGGAGCAATGGAATCCAAAGAGGAACAAGGAGTAAAAAATACCAGCATGGAGAATGCCCAAAAGGAAAATGAAGAAAAGGAAGAAAGGGAGCAAGTTCCTAATAAAGGGGAGCCCTTGACTCTCCCTTTGGATACGGGTGAATACTGTGTGCCTAAGGGAAATCGTAGGCGGTTCCGTGTTAGGCAGCCCATCCTTCAGTATAGATGGGACATGATGCATAGGCTTGGAGAGCCACAGGCAAGGATGAGAGAAGAGGATATGGAAAGGATTGGGGAGGAGGTGAGACAGCTGATGGAGAAGCTGAGGGAGAAACAGATGAGTCATAGTTTTCAGGCAGTGAGCACTAACCCCCCTCATCATGACCATCATGATGAATTTTGCCTTATGCCCTGAATCCTGATGTTTTCTCTGAAGTTAAGAGGGAGACACCTGCTTTCTAAACTCACGTGTTTCTGATGTACCCTTGTTGTAAACCTTTTAATGTCACTTGTTTAAGTGGGACTCCTATTATCAGCTTCTAATTGAATGTTGTGTTTTTGACCCAGTCTGTAAGAATTTTGTTAGCAGAAGAATTTTACCTATTGCATGGAAAGATGCTCATTATATATTGTGGAGTTAATAAAGCAGTTTAAAAACGCACTATCTGTATTTTTAATTAAAAATTTATATTAATCTATTTAATACATGAAGAGAAAACTGCACAAATTTTTTGGAATACTCCAAAATAATCAAAGTAGTTTGATAAGAAATGGAAACACTTTTTTAAAACCTTATAAAAGCAATAGGGTTACTTAATAAATACTTGGTTACTAAATTGGATTTCTCAACCAGGTAAATACACCAGGAATTTTTATAAATTGGACAAGACATTTGCTTCACATGACTGAAATGAGGTCATGAGTGTGTGACTTGTGTTTACCTGTTTTTTCTTCCATTCACACCTGTTATGCAGGACCCCATCCTTAGATTTTTCCCTTCACATATTCAGCAAAGTGTCCAAAGATAGGTCTCACCAGTCCACCATACCTTGCATTCTCCTCAGGACTGCAATGCATATTGGTCACACTGCAGTTTCTTTCTGACAAGAGATAGGCACTTAACCAAATTAAAATTAGTAATGACCGAACCAGGAGCTCTACGTTTTTGTCTCAGTTCAGTCCTTTAATAAGTAAATAACCTTGGGTGTGTAACTTCACTTCTTTGGAAAAGATTACTTGTGATTTCTAAAGGAACACTAGATTAATTTAGTAATATCTTAGTATTTCAAAAGGTATGCTAACCTGCCACCTATGTGAGAATCACCAAGGGACTTTCTTGAAAATGTGAATTCTGAATGGGGTTCCAGAACTTCCATTTTTAGCAAGCTTCCCTAGTAATTATGAGGCACATTAATGTCTAAATGGCTACTGGTATGTATATATTATGATCTCAATTCCTAAATAGGAACCATAATAACTAGAAGAATATAAAGGTGACTATCTGAACTCAGTTGCAAGAATCATTAAAATGTAAAGGATGAGATTATTTAAGTCTTTTAGATTTACTACATATAAATTTACATTGTTTACATCTTCTGGGATATTGGGTGATATTGTTTTTTTAAGTTGGAGTCTCACTGTCGCCCAGGCTGGAGTGCAGTGGCATACTCACGGCCACAACAGCCTTGACCTGCTGGGTTCAGGTGATCCTTCTGCCTCACCTTTCCAAGTAGCTGGAACTACAGGTGCATGCTACCATGCCCAGCTAATTTTTTGATTTATTGTAGGGACAAGGTTTCATCAAATTGCCCAGGCTGGTCTCGAACCCACAGACTCAGGCAATACTCTTGCCTTAGCCTCCCAAAGTGCTACCGCACCCAGCCAGGTGATTTTTTTTTTTATTCAACTGCATGATTACTTGTGCTAAAAAGAAATGCAAGCTAACAACAGATCCAGATTAAAGAACTCTTCAGTGAGCCATCAACCCACATAAAAATTCCCACTGACAGAACTTAGATATGTAGACTTCATGTTACCCTTGGAATTACTTGCCCTGGTGTAATTACTCCTATAGAGTGTAGGCAAAATTACTAAGTCTTGCTTCTAATCAATTGAATACAGCAAAAGTGATGGGATGTCATTTTTGTGATTATGTTACAAAAGACAGACTTCTATCTTGCTAGCCGACTCTTCCTCCCTTCTTCCTTCCACTTACTTTTGCTAGCTCTGATGAAATAAGCTGCCATGTTGGGGAAGCACATACAGCAAGAAACTGAAAGTGTATTTCAGCCAACAGCCGGTGAGAAACTGAGACCCTAATAATTTTTTTTTTCCTCAGAGGAAAGTAAATGTTTATTCTTCTAAACCTTTTGAATACAACATAATTCTGCAGGTTTAGTTAAGTTGCAAAGTTGACTAATAACATTTCCAGGAGTTCACAATTTCAAGGCTAAAGTTCTGATTAAGGTAATATAGTTACCAATTTAATATAAATGAGGTTTTGTAAAAAGGCCTAAAAGCAGTCTGGCTTCTTAAGGAAAAATAATATGGCTCTGATGAAACTCTCATTGTTAATTATTATTCATGACCCAGGTATTAGACTTAGTAATGTAAGTACACTTCAGTACTGCAGCAGTCAAAGCGGTAGTAAGATCTGGACCCAAGATCAGAAGGAAGCTCCACTATTTTTTTTGCGTATGTTGGTCTTTAGCATGCTAGTATGAGTAAGGTGCTGTGTCAAGCACTGGGATATGAGAAGTGCAGCTGAACGTGATGAAGGCAATGGGACGGTCAGGCACTGACAGGGCACTCTCCCTGTGGCACGTTAGTCACCTCCACAGAGCAGCAGGAGGACTTTCTTATATTAATCATGGAGTAAAGGGAAGTGGTAAAATTCTTCCTAAAGTTATAAAGTTCATTCTCACTCCTGGACACCACTACTCTGATGAGGGTTTGATCATCTGTCCCAGCTCCCTTCATAGCATAGTAGAGCACGTCTGAAAGTAGGCAGGTATACTTCGAATAGATTTCATCACAGCAAGAGTAGTTGCTCCAAATTGCCAGAAGTCTCCTGGTCAATGGTTTCCTCAATTTGAAATCCTGATAATAGTCATGTATTTGTTAAACACCCTTCTCAAATGAGACACATTTCATGCTACAAAGATGATAAACTTTTCTTCATCTGTCCCCCACTTAAGTTCTCCAGCCTGGAATAGAACCTGAGCATTTTGTTCAACTTGAGCTTTATCAACTCCATCATCATGGTCTCTATTAGCCTGAAGGAGAACCACCAACATCCTCTGGTAGTACCATGTCATCTTCCAGGCTGGAACCATATTCATCTCTATACACTTGTTTTATGGCTCTTAGTTCCTCAGGTGTTCTTGAAGCAATAATTCATATGCTTCAGTTCATAGGCAGCATAAAGCTGAGAGAATTTCATCAGAGCCACAATTAATTCTTAAATTTTCCAGTTAGTTCTGGTTTCAGGTCATCCACCAAACAGAGTTTTAAAAGCTGCAGCAATCTCCTGGTGCTGTTACTTTGAGGCGTTGGTAGAGCCAGGATGCTCTCCTCCTGGTGCCCAGGCCTGTCATGGCTTTCCGAAGTGTTTCTGCATCAGCCCACTCATCAAATCCAGGGATGTTGGTCACAGTGCCTCTGAGGACCTGTGACATGGAGACTCATCAGGTCAGGGGACGGTGATGCAAGACCAACCAGGGGACCCAAGTGCCCAACCCTTGAGAGCGGCAGCGCAGGAGGAGTCAGGGATGCCGGGCGGAGAAGGATCTGGGCGACTCCCTAATAACTCTTGAGGAACTGAAATCCTGACAAAACAACAAAAGTAAGTTTGAAAGCAACTCCTTTCCCAGCTTAGTCTTCAGATAAAACTTGAGCCCTGGCCAACATCTTGATTACAGCTTTGTAAAAGACCCTGAGGTGGAAGACCCAGATGAGCCACACCCAGATTTCTCATTCACAGTTTCTGGGATAATAAATGTGTGCTGTTTTAAGCTGCTAAGTTTTGGGATAAAAAGCCTTATATCCAACATAGGCCTGGAGTCAAACTCAAAGTCTAACAAATGCTAAAAGAAAAGCTGATTTGTTTTATGTAATGAAAATTTAGTGAAGGCTGAGGGTCATGAAGGAGCATCACACACACAACCAAGTAACTCAAAACAGTCATTTGATAGTTTGATATTTGGATTTTTAGAAGTCTTGGCTTATAGTTTTATTTAATTAGATTTGTCAAAATATATATTTTTTGAGTCAGGGTCTCACTCTGTCGCCCAGACTGGAGTGCAGTGGTATGAGCATGGCTCTGGGGCTCACGTCATCCTTCAGCCTCAGTCTTCTGAGTAGCTGGTACTACAGGCGTGCACCACCATGCTGGGCTAATATTTTGATTGTTTTGTAGAGATAAGATCTTATTATGTTGCCCAGGCTGGTCTTAAACTCCTGGACTCAAGAAATCCTGTTGCCTTGGCCTCCCAAAATCCTGAGGTTACAGATGTGAGCCACCATGTCCAGCCTAGATTTGTCAAAATAAACTGTTTAACTCTGGAAGAAAAAAAAATCTGCTAGAAAACGTGGCTGTCAGACTGACAAAGTTGGAAAAAACACAAGAATTATAAGATTATAGGATTACCAGTTACCCCTGTGGTTGAGGATATACCTGCAACGAAAAGTTATATTACAGTACTATGAGAGGAAACATATAATTGAGACAACAGGATGAACCAACAGGCATATGAAAAACCATTTCATCATCCAGTTTGATTGACTAAGGCATAAAGTATGTCACCAAGATGTCATTTTTTGAAAGAAGCACACAATTTATGAGATTAATATAAATATAGTTAGGCCCTTTGTACCCGTAGGTTCCATATTCATGGATTCACCCAACCTCAGATCAAAAATATTTGGAAAAACATATTCCATAAACCTTCAAAAAGCAAAGCTTGAATTTACCATGCATCAAGTACTACACTGAATCCACATGAATGATGTGATGTGTAGACATTGTATTAGGTATTATAAATAATCTCGAGGTGATATAAAGTACTCGTATATGGGAGAATGTACATAGGTTATGCACTTGCCATTTTATACAAAAGACTTGAGCTTCTGTGGATTTTGGTATGGGGGAGGGGGTCCCAATTACCCGTGGATATTGAGGAACAACTGTACATAAAATATATAATTTGTGGGTCCTTAGAGCCTCAAATTTTGGAATGAGGATGTCCTCTGAGAATTGCAAAAGGGTAAATTTGATAAGCAATGAATTGATTTTCCATCTCTGTGAATAAATCAAGAAATTGTCTGTCAATATGATATTTAAAAGGTTGAGAACATTTAGTATCCCAATCATTGGCATCTGGAAGTAGTCCCATAGATGCAGGGCAATGGAAGTGCTTTAGGAAGAAAAATGGTAATAATATATCCACATGAGTGGGGTTTTAGAGATCCTTTAAGTGGCTTAGGGTGAAACAGGTAGAAGTCCAAAGACACATTTTAGAAGATTTTAGGGAAAGGAGCTCTTAAAAGTGTAAGATAAGAGGCAGCATAAAAGAGAAGGAAATATGCAAAAACAGGACAAAAAACAGTACAGAATGAACTAAAGGAGGTTCTCACTAAAATATTCAACTAGCCTAGTGAGGA